TGCTTTGGAGAAAAGGTGTGGGGGGCGGAGCAAGTGTATCTGTCTGGCTCTTTTAATTCTCATTGGTCAAAGTTCACCTCCTAGGGAATTATCTTTGTCTACTTCTGTTCTGCATCATCCAATGATTTTAGGAGCTAGTTGGGCAGTCAGATCCTATTCTCTGTATTGTGACATTTTTAACTTTTTTAGTACAGAAGTTGCATGAGGGACCTAGGAGTGTGCCCGGTTGATCTGGCTTTGAGAGTGGCAGCCAGAGGGTAGCACCCAGTGCTCCAGGTCAGGTGTCGGTTGGTTCCAGGCAGTAGAATTGAGTAGACCTGAAAGGAGTTAGCTTTGTGACAGCTGAGGCGGAACAAGCATCTCAGGTTCTGGGAGGCAGTGAGGCCAAGGCAATCTGAAGAGGTGCATAAGATGTGTTTGATACTGAAATTGTTGTTAATTTAGAAATGTAATTTTAAATACTCTGACTTATTTCTTTAAATTTTTTCCTTTTGTTCTTTGAATAATCTGGAAAGACTCATCTTTTGGCAAAAATAAATAGAATTCTTAGTAGATAAATCCCAGGTTGTATTAGTGAGGGTGCTGCTAGAGAATGAACATTGCTTTTATTATATTTATTAGCTAGAACTGAGTTATTTGTCCTCAACTAAGTTTCAAGAAAGGCTGAGAAATATGGTTCAGCTATATTCCTAGGGAGAGGAGGAAACAGATGTAGTGAGCCAGTTTCTGCCACATAGATGTTTAGTATTGTAATATTTCTAAAGTATTGTGGTGTTGTTCTCTTAAAGAGTTATTGGTATCTGCTCGAGAGAACTATGTAACATGCCACAGAGATCACTGATGAGGGGATCCAGATATTTGGCTAGATATACGATTTTTCTGATCATTGATATAGCTTTAATTCAAAGGTAGATAAAAAGATGAAGCAGTAAAGATAGGTAATTGGCCATCTCAGAATACTTGCAAGTATTATGTTATAGCTGAGTAGCATGTTGATAAAACTTGGGCTGCTAACTCTTTTTTACTATACTATGACATTTAGGTCAAGAAGCAATGGCAACGTAAGCAATGATTAACTTATTAAAATTGCAGCTCAATTTTATGTGGTGGGAGCAACCAGCTATTTAGTGAATTTTATTTTGATTCATTTAATTTAGTGCCACATAAATATTTATTCTTGCATAGTTATGAATCGTTAACAATATATATATTATAAAGATACAACTCAGTAAACCATCACTTACTATTACATAAATATTGGAAAGCAAAATAGAAAACATCAAGGTGGTATAATATAATTTTCTAAAAACAAAAGTTGCTTTTATTAAAAGCATAGAAAGTTAAATGACTTTATTTGATATGTTTCTCCTTTTCATAAAAAGTTTTCTAAAGAGATAATGACCTACTAATAGTATTTTATTAAAGGTATCAAAGAGCAAGATGTGGCTATACATCTGGGTTCCCTGCAAAGAGGTTGTAGTAATATTTCATAGGTGGCTATTTCTGCCAAGGAATGTAAGGCAGAGGTTTTTTTCAAGTTTTTATTATGGAAAATATTAAGATTACACAATGTAGGGAATAGTGTAATAATGTCTATTAACCCATCACTCAACGATTACAATAATTATGAATATTCTGCTATTCTTGTTTTACATATTCTATTCCCCAAATTCTGCTTATTTTACTTGAATATTTTAAAGCAATTTCTAGACACCATATCATTTTACCTATATATATACTTCAGTATGTCTCTCTAACTGATAAAGACTTTTAAAGACATTTAGCACTACTATCATTCCTTCTCTTTCATCTAATATTTAGTCTGCATTCAAATTTTTCTCATAGTCTCAAAGACTTTTTTTTAACAGTTGATTTGTTTGAATCAGGATCCTGAGAAAGTCCACACATGGCATTTTGCTAATATTGTTCTTCAGTCTATTTTAATGCCATAACAGTTCTATTCCTGACTTTATATCTGCATGCCATTTACTTGCGGAAAAAACTGGGTCTCTTGTCCCTGTAGAACATCCCACATTCAGGATTTATCTGATTCCTTTCTTGTGGTATTATTTAAGAAATGCGTTTTTTTTATCCAGCATTTCATGCAAAGTAGCACTTAGACGAGTTTTGATCAAGTTCATGATAAAATTTTTTAAAGCAAGAATATTTAAGAAGTAGTGCCATGTTCATTCTATTCTATGACATCAGGATGCACTAAATATTTGTGTGTCTCTCTTTCAGTGCTGGTAAAATCAATAGGTTCAGATGGTATTCACCTGATATTTCTACTAAAAATTCTTCATCAACATTTTATCTAATGGTTTAACATCTACTGATAATCACTGCCTGACTAAATTATTTACTATTTTTAAAAATTCCATCATTCCTCTTGCATTTGTTAGCTGTGATTCTTCTCTTAAGGAGAGAGATATCCTTCAACTACAGTCAAGTGCCGTATAACAATGTTTGGGGTCAATGTAGGACGTTGGTCCCATAGGATTATAATGCCATATTTTTACAGTACCTTTTATATGTAGATATGGTAAGATATCTACATATCTTACCACAAATACTTAACATTGTGTTCTAATCACCTACCGTATTCAGTACAGTAACATGCTGCACAAGTTTGTAGCTGAGCAGCAATAAGCTATACCATATAGCCTAGGTGTGTAGTAGCTATGCCATCCAGGTTTGTGTAAGTATACTATGATTTTCACACAATGATGAAATTGCCTAAGGATGCATTTATCAGAATGTGTTTTCATTGCTAAGTGATACATGACTATATTTGGTTATTCTGAAGCACAGCCCTTACAGAAAAGGCTGGATGAAATCTTGGTTCTTTCCCTTTTTATAACAATTCTCAGAAGGTTGATTCTTACATCCAGCAAAGATAACCAATGACGTGTGTATGAAAGCATGGAGTTTTTAGATGGCCAATGTGTTTCAATTCATTGCAGTCATTATTCTTTCTGAACTCAAGTTGTCTCACTTTGCCAAAGGGAGGTCTTTAAATTGTCCTTTTGTCATGACCACAGTGGTCTTTTTATAGGTATAATAAGAAGTCCCAGGTTCATCCTGTGCATTTCCAACCCGAAGCCTTAAATCAGCCATTTCTCTAAGAAAGTCCTGATTTCTTTTAGTGGTAAATGGAATTTGGAGACCACAATTTGTGCATTATTTATACATTATTTGTATTATTGGTGTATTTATATTCATTGTTCTTCTAGGCCTTTTCAGTGGACAAAGTTAGAAAAAAGGTCATCTTTAAGAAAAATATTAAATAAATTATGAATCCTTACTGACATTTCTAAATCAAAGGTTACAGGTTTTTATGTAACTTAAAAAAATTTCTATATGCATTCCTTTTCTCTTATCCTGAAAATTTGCTCTTTTAATAGTTTTAACATTTATACTTATATATTTGGCTAGATCAAAAATAATAATATTAGTTATGCTACTCACAAGAAGACCAATAAATATAGTTTAAAATAGTGTGTGTGTGTGTGTGTGTGTGTGTGTGTATGTGTGTGTGTACCTGGTTTGTCCTTGGGGTCTATGTCCCATTAGGAATGTGACATGCTTGAAGCTCCTACTTGAGGGGGGATGGGTGCATGGGCAATATAAGTAATCTTAACACTTGTACCCCCATAATACGCTAAAATAAAAAAAAAGGAATGTTCTGTCAAAATACTGACTTAAAGTACTATTTTTGTGCTTATTAATTTTATAAAGAAAAACTTACCAATCATTTGGTTTTTATGTATTTAGGTTCATTTTTTCCCATTTTGCTTTTTTTCTTTTGGTTTAGCTTTTAAATTAATATTAAATATGTATGTCATTCCAAAGTCAAAACTATGAAGTAAATACTGTATATTGAGAAAGAGTTTGCTTGCATAATTGTTCCCTTATCCATTCTTTCCCTCCTCAATAGGTATCAATTTCTGTTAGTTTTTAGTTTATGCCTCCATTAGCAAATATGTGTTTTATGTATTTTTCTCCCTTCTTGCACAAAAGGAGGCATAAATTCACTGTCTTTCACCTTATTTATTCACTTAATATTGCATAATTTTGCAAGTCTATCTTTAGTGGTAGGTTTCTAGATGTGGATTTGCTGGGTCAAAGGGCAAATACATATAAAATTTTACTAGATATTGCCAAAATTCCCTTCAATAGAGTCATATCATTCCCTTCAATAGAGTTGTATTTGAGAAGATTTTAAAAATAAGGTTTTTTTGTTTCTTCTCCACTCCCACTGGCTTCACTTGACCAGCCTAAAAAAAAAATGAGTTTTTTTAAGTCTCTGATCTACTGAATTAGAATTTGGAGACTAGGGCGTCCAGGTTAGTTAGATGATTACCCAGATTTGGGAAGCATGTTCTAAAGGAAATTTTAAAGCCAACATTAAATTAAATTCAATTTATTGCTTACTTGCTATATATTAGATACTGTGGTAAGTACCAATGAGAGAAACTCCAAGAATGAATATAATATAGCCCTCCCTGGATGAACCCAGAGACTAGATAGTGGAGGAGAAATATTTATAAATAAATCATTGTTAACATCATGTGATTGCCGGTATAATAGAGATGTATATATGGTGCTAAAGGAACACAAGATAGTGGATGTGTATGAGAATTATACCTGGAATAGATTAGAATGGACTGTTCCTAATAAAAGAAGAGATTTAACAAATTCTTTACAAAACAAATTCAATGAAGTCTTCTTTCCTTAGAAGAAATAAATCATGAGTTTAATCCTGACTCTATCTCATTTGTACTTGTTTCTTAGCTTGTTTTATTTTTTGACATAGCTTCAAATTTTCAAATTGGAACTACCATTGGCATTTATGGATATTTTTAAACGCCAAATCATAACAGCTTCCAGAGTCCTAACATAATGATATTTTCAGTGAAAAAAATATAAACATAATCATTAGCATTCTGTAGTCGGCATAAAATAAATAACGTCATTCATGTAGTTGACAGGAGAGAAGATAAAAGTCAATAAAAAGAATTATTTATTAAAAAGATCTAATGTTACAAGAACAGTACACAGAACTATTATCTGACTGTGCCTTCCACATGGTATATACCTTATATATAGTATATATACAGATTGTATACAATATATTTAACGGTTTAACATGGGGGCCACAGTACCTTCATTTGGGTATGGAAAACATTTGCTTTCATGAAACTTCTAATTATAAGAAGAGTTGTTTTCTTCACAGTTAATTGACATTATACAAAAATACAGTCTCTTTAGTGATTTAAGACTGTGTGGTTACTATCCCATCCAAGAAAAAGCTCACTTAGTACTGTAGCTGAAAAATAACGTACTTGGATAAAGAATGCTGTTCTGCTTTCTAAAAAGTAACAAATATGTAATACATAGGTACATAAACATTGAAAACCTGTTGTTTTAAATAGGTTTACGATGCAAAATACATATTCTGTGCATGTTGAGTAAAAACATCCCATATTTCTGATTCCTGTAAGAATACAACATCAGACATCCTATGTGTAAATATTTCTGTCAGATATGTACCATCCATCAGCTAATAGGAAATATTGGTGAATTTGAATTTGACATGTATTGGCATTATATTTTACTGGACTTTGCTTTATAAGAGTGTTAGTAATAGCTTGATTTGTAAAGTCTTTCACTAACTCTAGCACACAGCAGCATGGAAAAAGAAGAAAATAGTTTGATTTTTATCAAATATGTAAAATTATTTTTAATTTTGAAATATTCTTTCTGCATTCTTTTTCAGATGCACAATTTATTCTTGCAAGTTACACCATACTTGGGAGAGCTCATGTTTTGTCAGCTAGTTAGCATGCCTCTTCTTGAGAAGTCCAGCCTCTTCCTCTTCAAAGGAAATATTCAAGAATGGCCACTTGGTCATTATTATTCACAGGCTTAAACATTTACCATCTGTAGTATTTACTAGAATAATATGTTCACTGAATCTTTTAAGTAACTTCTTGTTTGTTTAGGAATGTCTTGGACATAATTTCCCCCAAACAGAATGAGTAACTGACATACAGAGTTTTACTGTGGCTCTGAAACTAATCTTTTATAATGTTCGGAACAGAAAATTCCATCTTGCCTCTTATTCTACAATATTTACCTCTAGAGCTAGAAATTTGAGCTCAATATTGCTTCATTTTTCTTGTTATTAAAGATGCAAATAGGAGTAACAGGTTAGATTATATAAACGAAAAGAAGCTACCTTTTATTCTCATTAACATCGCCTGTGAAACTGTAGTTTTTCCAGGCTCTTTTCTGGAATATGACTTTGCAATAACTATCTCTTCAGACATCTTCATGGGAGCAATGCCAATTCTGGCATATTCTCATGTCTGTTAGAACTTCTGTAGGGTGTCATTAAATAGAAAACTCTTACCTCACTTTCCAACAATTGCCTTGGATCCCTTATGTTAAAGTTGATTCCTCAAAATAGCAAATGGGATCACCTCGCAAGCCACAGAATCAAGCAGTGCATGACTGGCTAGACTAGATGAGTCCCTGTACTGATGCCATATTTCCATAGCTTAATTTTAAAAAATCAATTTATCCAAGAGAGATCTTTATTTTGGTAATTGATAATTTTTATAAGTGGTATGTGATGCATTGAATTGTTTTTAAAAATCAAAATTTATTGTTATGCTTGAACCATTTTAATCCATAGACTATGCATAATTATTTGCACAACAAATTTTCATTGACCTTAACATTTTTGCAATTAGAAGAAAACCTTGGACCTAATTCAATGCCTGTCTTGGCAGTAGGTGGAGAAATGGTAAAGCTTGTCCCATATTCATTTTATTTTTAAGTTAGCATCCATGGCAGCATGTCTGCAGTTTTTAGTGATCATATATTTTTGGTGACTTTAAACTATCTTTTGTTATTAAAAATAAACATTTACTTTATTTGCTGATAGATAACATAGTACTTTATGAAAAACAATAGCACTTAAATTCATCTGGACTTACTTTCTACTTGCCTTGCACTAATGTAAATGGCTTATTCCCTATTCTAATAACTTGCTCTGAGGGTGCATATAGAATAGCATTTTGACAAATCTTGCTATTTCACTATGCAATCGTACATTTTCCAAGAAAAGTTTTGTGTATTTATCCTATAATGGACCACATAACTGAAGTATTTTTCATATCTCCTGCTGGTTTGGCAATTGGAATAATCAGCTGAAGGGAAAATGAAAAACACTGGACTTGGGCGTAAGCAAATTTTCATTCTAGGTTTTGCATTTGTTTTTGAACGGACCTACTAAAGACCGCTTACTTAACAAATGGATGGCACACACTCGGGGGTCATCAGAATATAAAATGAAATTCCAACATATTAAAAAAGTAAAGAATACATTTGACAGAAATTACCTTTGCTTACAAAAATTCATTACATACAATCTGCATATTTTTATTGGACCAAGAACTGTCCTCTCCATTTACAAAACCAAAGAGAAACCTGATGTATAAGTAATACTCCCCTCCCCCAACCTCCTGTAAGTGCACCACGTGTAGTCCCAAGTGTTTAAAGCTCAAGCTCCTCTCAGGATCCCTGGTCTCCACTTACACTATACTCTATTCACCGCTGTTATCAAGCTAAAGCAAAGAAAAGCAAATCGAGTCAGCAGTTTTCACCAGGAGGTTGAAGGAATCACCAATGCCAAGAGCAACGTTACTGATGACGAAGATGTGGAGAGAGTGTGGAGGGCAGACTGAGCACTTGTGATTTTCCCACCTGTGAAAAAAGAGAAGCATCACATGGAGCTAATTATTTTGGTTTTACTTAGGCGAGAGTTGTTTTTAGTATGTAAGACAAATGAGTGCAACCTTGGTCCCTTTTTCTTTCTCTTTTTTTTAACCGTTACATAAATTTAAAATTTAAGAACTATTTTAGATTTACAGAAAAATTGCAAAGTGTAGAATATTTCTGTATGCCTTCACATGGTTTTCCCTACTGTTAATGTCTTACATTATTACTATTATTGGCACATTATTATTATAAAACATACATTATCAAGTACCGAGTTCAAACTTTATTCAGGTTTCCTTAGTTTTTCCCTAACGTCCTTTTTTTTTTTTTTTTTTTTTTGTTTTTTTTTTTTTTTTTTTTGGTCCCAGTATCTCATCCAGGATTCCACATTACATTTAGTCTTCATGTCTCTTTAAGCTCCTCTAGATTGTGATAGTTTCTCACACTTGTGTTGTTTTTGATGACCTTGACAATTTTGAGGATTCCTGATCAAGTATTTAGTAGAATGACCTTCGATTGAGATGTGTTTGATGTTTTTCTCATGATCATGTTGTGGTTATGTGTTTTCGCAGGGGAAGACCACAGAAGGAAAGTGCCTTTCTCGTCACAGCATATGGAGGGTACATGCTATCAACATGGCTTATCAGTGTTGATGTTGATCTTGGTCACCTGGCTTAGGTAGTGTTGGTCAGGTTTCTCCACTGTTACTCTTTTTTCTCCTCCCTTCCCATATTGTACTCTTTGGAGGGACAGCATCATGTATAGTGTAGGCATGTATTTTTTTGGTGTGTGTAAATTTATGGAGTACATGAGAAAATTCGTTACATGTATATAATGTGTTGTGATCAAGTTACGATATTCAGGGTGCCCGTCACTGAGTAAAATATATTTTTGTTAAGTGTAGTTCTACTCTGCCATCAAACCTTGAATTTTTTCCTTCTATCTTACTGTGTGTTTGAACCCTTTAACTCATTTCTCTTCATCCTCTCCCCTCCCTCTTTCTCACCATTCCCAGTTGCTGTTTTTTATCTTTCCACTCTCTACCTCCGTGTGTTCAAATATTTTAGCTCCCATGTATAAGCAGGAACATGTGATATTTGTCTTTTTGTGCCTGGCTTATTTCACTTAAAATAAAGACCTCCAGTTCCATCCATGTTGCTACAAAGGACAGACATGATTTCATTCTTTTTTATGGATGAATGGTATTCTATTGTGTATACATACCAACTTTTCTTTACCCATTTATCACTTAGCTTGATTCCTTATCTTTGCTACTGTGAATAGTGCTGCAATAAATAAGTGCGTGCAGGTATCCCTTTGATATATTTATTTCTTTTCCTTTGGGTAGATACTCACTAGTGTGATTGCTGGATTGAATGGTAATTCTATTTTGGTTTAGTTTTTGTGTGTGTGTGTGTGTGTGTGTGTGTGTGTGTGTGTGTGTGTGAAACCTCCATAGTATTTTCCATAGTGGCTGTAATAGTTTACATTCCCACGCACAGTGTGTAAGAGTTCTCTTTTCTCTGCATCCTCACCAACATCTGTTATTTTTTTTTTTTTAGTAATAGCCATTCTGACTGTGGTAAGATGATATATCATTGTGGTTTTGATTTGCACTTCTCTGATGATTAGTGATGTTAGGCATTTTTTCCATACACTCGTTGGCCATTTGTATGTCTCCTTTTGAGAAATGTCTGGTCCTGTTTCTGATAAGAGTGTTCTTCATACTTATGACACAAGATGTCATCTGGGGTTTCCAAAATTATACGGAGGGAAGAAATATATATATAAAATATTGTGTTGAAAAGGCAATGTCTTATTAACAAACACATCTAATCAGGAGATTTAGTGTAATTTTCACCAATGATGCACTGATGGAAAACATCCCAAATTCCCAGTATGAAAAATAAAATAATTTTATTAGATCCTGCATAGTTCAGGAAATGGAGCAAAACTATTTAGCAAAACCTTATGGCAACATAAATCGATAATTTACAGTCATGTACCACATAACAACTTTTTGGTTATATATCACATATATGACAGTGACCCCATAAGATTATACCAGAGCTGAAAAATTCCCATCGCCCATTGATGTTGTAGCCATCATAAAGTTATGGCACAATACATTACTCACATCTTCGTGGTGATGCTAGTGCAAACAAACCTATTGTGCTGCCATTCATATATAAGTATAGCACCATTATGTATCAAGTACATAATACTTGATAATATAATAAATTATTATGTTATTGGTTTATGTGTTTATTATACTATTCTTTTTATTGTTTTTTTTTTTAGTGTACTCCATCGACTTTTAAAAAAATGTTAAGTGTAAAACAGCCTCAGACAGGTCCTTCAGGACGTATTCCAAAAGAAGGCAGTGTTATCATAGCAGATGACAGCTCCATGTATGTTACTGCCCCTGAAGACCTTCCAGTGGAACAATATGTGGAGGTGGAAGACAGTGATATTGATGATTCTGACCCTGTGTAGGCCTGGGCCAATGTATGTGTTTATATCTTCATTTTTAACAAAAAAGTTTAAAAAGTTAAAAAAATAAAAATAAAAAATTTAAACATAGAACAAAGTTTACAGAATAAAGATATAAAAAAAGAAAATATTTTTTGTACAGCTATATTATATGTTTGTGTTTATATTAAAACACAAAGGTTATAACAAGAGTCAAGAAGGTGAAAACATTAAAAAGTTTATAATGTAAACAGTTACAGTAAGCTAGGATTAATTTATTATTGAAGATAGAAAGTTTAAAAATAAATTTACTGTAGCCTATGGCATACGGTGTTTATAAAGTCTACAGTAGTATTCAGTGAGGTCCTAGGCCTTTACATTCACTTCCCACTCACTCACTAACTCACTCAGAGAAGCTTCCACTCCTGCCAGCTCCATTCCTGGTAAGTGACCTATACAGGTGTACCATTTTTAATCTTTTATTTTTTTTATTTTATTTTTTTTTTTTTTGAGACGGAGTCTCGCTTTGTTGCCCAGGCTAGAGTGAGTGCCGTGGCGTCAGCCTCGCTCACAGCAACCTCAAACTCCTGGGCTCGAGTGATCCTTCTGCCTCAGCCTCCCGAGTAGCTGGGACTACAGGCATGCGCCACCATGCCCGGCTAATTTTTTATATATATATCAGTTGGCCAATTAATTTCTTTCTATTTTATAGTAGAGACGGGGTCTCGCTCTTGCTCAGGCTGGTTTCGAACTCCTGACCTTGAGCAATCCGCCCGCCTCGGCCTCCCAAGAGCTAGGATTACAGGCGTGAGCCACAGCGCCCGGCCCATTTTTAATCTTTTATATGAACTGTATTTTTTACTGCATGTTTTTGTTGTTTAAATACATGAATATCATTGTGTTATAATTGCCTACGTTATTCAGTACAGTCATACGCCATATAGGTTTGTAGCCTCAGAGCAATAGGCTATATAATAAAGCTTCCAGTGTGGTAGGCTATACCATCTCTGCTTGTGTAATTACACTCTCTGATGTGCACACTATGACAAAATTGCCTAATGATGCATTGTTTAGAATGTATCCCCATCATTAAGAGATGTGTGACTACAATTACTTCGATTTTTCAATTTAATAGTAATAAAATATTATTTTGTTTACTTAATTTATTTATGGGTCCTTTATTGATCATCTCAGTTGAGTGGGCTTAAATTCTAGATTCTCATGCCAAACTCAGCAAAGAAGAGCCATCTTTTGTCACTCTTATACTCAGGAGAAATTCTTCTTTTTCTGAGATCAAACATGGTATGCAGCTAATGTGTTAGAACAGCTGTTGGATTAAACTGACTGATCTGAGTTGGTTAGTCTGAAGTAGTTTTGAGAGTTCCACATAGTCACAAACTAAATATGACTTTTAGGTACAAACTTCAGGAGTGGCTCTTCATGCCAGAAGTCTCTGAAGCATCATCATCGTGATTGATATTTCATGAATGCTTATAATAAATATACCATGCACTGTACTACTGTACTAAGTCCTTCATATACATTATCTTATTTGAGCCTCACAACATTCCTATATAGTAAGTACTACTATTATTTGTCCCCTGTTTCAGATCAGGCAACTGGGACTTAGATTGTAGAACTTGCTTAAAGTAATTGAGCCAGATATTACTGGATTCAAATGCTTTTATGTATTGTCTCTCTTAAGAAACAATAATTGGCCTTAATTAAAACATGAATAATAATAATAAAATCTACCATTCAAGGGTTAGAATCTTCTGTCATGGTATGCTCTCTGGCCAGATTGAATGTAATGGGATTCTGGGAGTGATTTTTGTTACAGAGATAGAGTCTAAATTTATTTTCCAGATACTTACTTAAGAGCTAAAGAATCATTTGTTTGGTAAAACACATACATGCAAAAAGCAGCAAATCTTCTTTCCTCTGAAAATTTTACAGCAAATGCACTACTAAAACTTATTAATCAACATATTGCAGAATGTTACATATATTTCAACTTGTACAAAATGAGGTTATCGTGAAGTGCATAGCCACATGTGAGCTATAAGAAAGGCAAGATGACAAAGCCTCACTGGAGTGATATGAGCATGCTTAATAAATAAAAAATGTGAAAACGTCTTTTCTATTTATTGAGAGTGGCTGCGTCCTTGTTAAATCAACTTACAAGACACTTTTTAAAAACATCTCACTTTCAGAATGCTAAGGAGGGTCTACATCTCAAATTCCAAATAGAACCCACAAAGCTAAAACATATTATTTTGGTATAGTAAAACAAAACAACAACAAAAAAAACTCCACAAAACAACAGCATTAGACTAAGTTCTAGCCCCAGCCGTATCACTTGGGCAAGTCATTCAATTTCATAGGCATTGGTTTTTGGAATATGATAAAATGAAACCAATTATTGCTCAGGTTCTGGGTGGGTCTAAGGTAGACAATACAATCGGATTTCACTTTATTGAATCTCAGGAAATGGGTTACACTGGCCAAAGTGTTACTAACTAAAACATAAAAGTTAACAATTTTTTTTATGGAATAGAAGTTATGAGTTAATTAAAGCATAAGGGGGAGAATCAAGGTCTTTATAAGTATTTCCAAGTTTGGGACTGACCTTATTCAGAGAATGCTATAGAATCTGATGGTGTTAGAGTTGAAAGGACCCTCAGAGAGTTAGTGAATAATAAAATACCTAATTCAAAAGATTGCTAGAGGATAAAATAAGGTAATATATGGAAAACACCTAGCATAATGCCAGGAATGTGATAAGGGCTCAATAAATGCTCATTGTATTGTTGTTATTAGAAATTTGACACTCACAAAGCCAGAGGAGAGTTATCTTTTTCACTTTTCAGAAAAAGATCTTTAATCTTTCAAGGTGCTCTTGAAAATTTAGCACCCTCATCTGAGCAGTTCAATTGTGAACTAATCAATGCAGAGATAGTATTACTGTTCTTGCTCTTGAAACTACACTTTTATAAATGAATCATAAAGTGTATTAAGTTTTTCTGTGACCACAGTGTAATTTAAATTCTTAGATCTTTTCACCAGAGTTTCTGAAAAAAATCAGATTTCTTCCTATCTTATGTTTTGAATTTTTGACTTTTCATTTTAAAATAATTTTAGGTGTACTGAAAAGTTGTAAGAACAGAACCAAGAATTTACCAAGATTCCTTAAATGTTGATATTTTATCATTTTTGCTTCATTGTTATCTCTATAAATATATACATTTTCCAGAACCATTTGAAATGAAATTACAGATATAATGTACCTTTTTCCCTAAATATTTTAATGTATAGTTCTTAAAAAAAAGATATTTTATGATATAACCACAGTACAGTTTTTAAAAATAGGAAATTAATGTTGATATTATCAAACCTAAAGGTATCCAAGTTTTATTAATTGTCCTAATGATGTCCCTTATCTCATCTTGTATTTTTATGTAATAATTTAGAGTTTATCAAGTATTATGATAATAGCTTTTCCTCAACATTCCAGTCTATCCTGTTCTTTTCTACACTGTATTTGCCTTCCATCTAGTTTTGTGCCACCAAAAAATTCATAAGCAGTTCCTCTAGTCTGAGTTCAAGCTGATAAATATGTTGAATAACATAGGGCCACATGCAGAGCCTTATAGGATATCACTGGAGACATCCCTTTAGGTTGACAATTCTGTTTGGAAATGATTGCTCAACAAATAAAGCTCATAATTACCCATTAATTAAATGCACATTAAACTTTTATATAACATTTTAATAAAAATTGCCTGATACTGTCTTAATTAGAGATTTGCATATCTCATTAAAGCTTTTGCTTCCTTTTTTGACTACCTCAACAAAATGATTACTTTCTACCAAATTTATCAAATCTCCCTTCCTTTAATCAGTTTTCCCTTGCCAGAGTAATAATGGTGGTGGTGGTGAAGCTATTTGGCCTTGGAGACAAGCATACCTAGTCTGAATCCTGGTTCTGTCACTTGGTAATATTGTGATCTTAGGCAAGTTACTTAAATGTTTTCTGTAAAACAGAAAAAATATCACCTACCTCATATGATTGCTACTAAAATTAAATAAGATGATGTATGTAAAGCACTTTTGACCATGTCTGACATATAGCAAAGGCTCAGTAAAAGCTAATATTAATTAGCTAAATTATATTAATAATTTAGCTAATATTGCTAAAATATTGCTAAAATAATATTTAATATTGCTAAAATAATATTCAATAAGATTCATTTAGAAATTAATGCCTATTGATAATTATATTCTGATAATAATCTATTAATAATTTCTAAACAAATTATTAATTTGTTTAAATTTGTTTAGAAATTAATGAACGTGATTAAATTTTAATTTTAAAAGAATTCCCTTTAAACTCCCCATTAGCTAACAATAATTGCAGTAAAGACAATATGTATGTCAAACTAGTGCAGTTATTGAAAGCAATATTCCAAAACCCAAATGGCCAGCAAGGTACTATTTAAAACCAGGATAGGTAAGAGAATCTCCCAAGTACATTCTAATGAACACATCAACTCCTTCATAGATTTGTAGAAATTCTGCAATTGTGAGCAGATTACCATGGTTCATATTAATCAGAGGATGATATGAAACTCAGAGTAAGAAGAGAAACCCCTCAAAGTCTCTGGACCACACAATCCATCAGATCAATTTTGATGAGGTATACACCATCAAAATTGTTGGTGATCAACAAATTAAGCCTGTTATATCAATACTTACCTGTATACGATGGTACCCTGATTTGGGAACTGGCTGTTCCATCCCCTCCTTCACTAAATGCTCGAACTTCAATAATGTAGACTCCAGCATCAGGGAGTGGCACTACTGCTTGAGGTTTCTGTGTTTCAATAACTTGACTGTTGCTGTGACCCTCTTGCCTATAAAAAACCTATGAGTGATAATAGAGGTTTAAATATTTAATGTACAGTAGGTAATCAATATACATTTGTAATTTTTAATACAATATCACATTCTGAGCTAAGCACAAGGCACTTACAGCTTAGACAGATACATAAGCAAATACAATGCACATGTTATATATACTATAATGCAAGCACACGTAAGGGGACATGGCAATACAGAAGAGAGAGTTTTATTCCTTTTGGGGATGTAGGGAAAGTTTTCCAGAGGAGGTGATATCTGAAGTAAGTATTTAAAGAGGAGTACAGTTTACCTGTTGGAGAAAGGGAAGAGAATTCCAGAAAGAGATAAGAGAAAATTAAAAAATACATTTAAGCTGTAAGAAACCATGGCATTAGGATATCGAATGGAGAGAAAATGTGTGAATAGTGAGAATGAGGCGAGAGAAGTAGGTAGTGAGGGGGCAGATCATGAAAAGTCTTTTATGTCTGGTCATTGAAATAAATGATATCCTGAGGGAATTTTGAAAGCTCTCATGTTCAAAGAATTTGAAAGGAGTAAAGAGAAAATTTGTTAAACATATCAGTAATACATTCTTAAAATGTAGAAAATGGTTGAACAGTTAATTTTTTTAAAATTTTTCCTTTTGTGGGGGTGGTTTGCTTTTTGGTGAACTGACATTTGGATACACTGGGTACCAAAGCTAAGGCTTTTGTGATATCTCTCTGTGATATTATAATTAAACACATGTACATGGCAAACAGTTTCAGAACTACAAATTAGGATACAAGATTATCTTGTGTTTACATATCAAAAACTTAAGGCTATACAGTTTAGGTGATTTATACAAGACCATGTGGCTAGATAGGGTAGAAATTTCGTTAGACTGGTATTTTGATAATCACTTCAGAGCTTTTTCACTATATTGTACTATTCCTATCCATTTGTTCCAATATAATTAACTATAATTTGTTTGTGATATAATAGTCAAATTAGTATCAAAATCTCAAGTCAAGTAGCAGCAGTTACGTTTAAATGGATTTTTATTCAGTTTCATCATTTTGTTCTTTTTCATAATTGGTATCATGATACGATTGCTTTGATAATGGAAAGAAAAATGGCTTTGTAGTCATACAGATTTCAATTCAAAACAATTTTCTACAAAACAAACAAAATGAATCTTCTACACCTTTCCTGGCTGAGCAAATTTGGGCAAGTTACTAACCTTTCTAAACCTCAATTTGCTCTATTATGGGCTAGGGACAATAATACCTATTTCATGGTTTTGTTAGGAGAATGACAAGAGAGGACACATGTAAAATACCTAGCACAGGACCTTGTGCCTGATAAGCTTAATAAGAGAAAGCTACTCCTTCTGCTGCCATCATTGTTTATTGTTAATGAGTCAATATGTCAATTGTATCATAAAAGATGGACCAATGGGGAATTAGAACAAAAATGTATATATATTTTTTCTTATGAAAAATGTGTTTTGAGCTTGAACTAACTTACAAGAAAACAAAAAAACTTTAGACAGGCGATATTTTCATGTACTGAAGCCCACCTGTACTTGAGCTTCCCATTTGCATTCTGTTAATGTATGATCCCTCCATTTCAATTCTTTTATTTTTCATGGATTTAAATTTACTTCAGGGTCTTGGGAGGGAACTGACTTCTCCACAAAAGTATAACGTGTGCAATAATTGAATCTATTGAAATCCTTATTGGGATGGACACCGTAGCCTCAGCATAAATGCAAAATGTTAGGAGTGTTACCAAATATTTATCGGACATCTCATGTAGGCAGGCACAGTGCTATACTGGAGATTTATCAGTGAACAAGACCACATGGTTCCTGTCCCCATGGCACTTAGAGTCTAATATTAAAGACAAATAAGCAATACAATGAAGTGTAACATGTATTGCAAAGGGAAACATATGTGATGTTACAGCAATGCACGGAGCACACGGTCAAGATATGGGAAATCAGGAACACTTCCTGAAGGATGCCTACAGCAAGTTCTTTTGGCTTAAAGAATGACAAACGTATCAGAATTTATGCTTTTGATTTTGACTGAAGCATTGTAATGAATTAGAATTCTGATCATCTGCATGAGGTAATTAGAAAGCAAATTTATGGGAATGGGAAAGTATGTAAATTGGTGAGGATTGGCAGGGGAGTGACTATTTTAGAGGACACCGTTATTATGGTTCAATAAATCACAATTCTTACAACAGAGAAAAATGCAGCCAGCAATGCATAGCTAATGTTGCTGTAAAATCCAGACTTGAAGAAAAATTTGTGGATCAGTTGAGATTTACTATCAAAAGGTAAAGGAAGGGGAAAAAAATCAGTTAATGGTAGCAAAAGTTTGAGATTAAATGTGGCTTTTACTAATACATCCAGAAAGATGTAGTGCTTGGCATATACATAGGTACACTAAGTGAAAAGATACATTAAATTAATAGTTAATCTTGGGAACTTTAGAGAATCTTGGCTCATTTAAAAATCGTGATTTAGAAAAGATGAATGAGAATATAAATGTGAGATGATTAAGAACTTATCAAGACATGTCAAAAATTGTTATTGACAGTAAGGAGGCCAGGGAGTTCTTTGAGAATCTGAACATTCATAGATTGGCAGTTGCAATGACAGCTATAAATATGTATACAGGAAATTGTGCAATGTATTGTGAAGACTATTCTCAAATCCTATATATAAAAAAAAACCTGAGAGCAGTGCATTATCCAAATGGATGACTCTAAACAAAAAATTAATGTAGTATACTGCTATTCTCAAAGGCATGTTCTGAAAATGGCTCTTCTGTGTGTCTGATGATAACAGAATATTGGGGTGAGTGTGCTAAAATATAACAGAATTAATTTTTGCTGGTTATACTTCTTAGAAGGATGGATCCTAATAATGTGAAGGGCTATCCTTTAGCTGGGCATCTTGGGAATAGTTGATGGGGACAACTGTTCTTCATAACACAGGGTGAGGAATTCAAAGCCCAGTGACAGGGCGTGAGTGGGGAGGGGTCATCAAGATGCACAGAAGCGAGGTGAATAGAAGCTGAGAGCACAAGTATCCCTGAGAATGGTGGCTGAATAGACTTTTATCAACAGGACTTCTTTTTGGGCAGTTTTCAGATGTTTGCTTGAATGTCATCCCTTTCTATCTCTATCTCAACATTTTCATAAAGTCTGCATCATATAGATACTGGACATTATATGAGCCATTTCAGTTTTAATTAAAAATATGAACTATTTCAAGCATAATCACATATAAAGAAGATGATGTAGTGAACCTCATGTACCTGTCACCTAACTTAAGCCATTATATGAATCTTTTTAATTTGTGGAAACACAGGAAAGAAGGCTAAATCCCATATTTGCAGTGAAGATAAGATGAGGGAAGAGCTGTAAATTGCAGGAAATAAAAGAGACTGGAGTGTCCAGAGACTCTGAGCTCCCTGAGAAGCTGGGGAATATAGGGCTTCAAAATTCTACAGGGTGTGAAATACAACATCAATCCAAGTGCACATGTATCACCGGTATCTGGAAGGCCCTGGCTGATATCTAAGTTGCATAAACAAATGAAAACATCTGTCTGTATTGATGGTTCATATAATAACCAGTAAACTTTGAGTCTGATTTCCACCTATTCTTCCTAGCTCTGTACACAATTAGAAAGTAGAGGTGGGTGGGAGGAGATGTATGGTGAAGTGTTGTATATCTAGGAAAGGGTATTTTCTAGATGTAGACTGGAATAATTAAATGTTTTTTTTCTTGGACTATAGCCTGAATTCCTCTGACTGTGTGTTTTCTGAATGGATATAAGTTTTTCTTTGTGGGGAAGTGGGCATTTGTACAAATAAAAGCATGCCCATGAGCATTTAATTTTTATTTTCCCTTTTTCTTAGTATAAATCTATATGAGGAAAATAAGGTGGACATTAAATGGCTGTTTTACTTTATAATCTGGGTAAACTTTTTTCATGGTATGAAGAAAAGAAAATCTCCATTTTTGAGATCATTAAGAATTACGGCTTATTATACTTTAGTACATAGTTTTCTAGTTGGTATTTACTTAGCAATGCCAGTAATGGTTAGACATATAACATGTGCCAAAATTAATAAGGGTTCTAGCTATAGCCTCCAAATTAGAGGAGTTATAAAAATGAAGTTTTCTTCATTTAAAAGCTTTTACTTGGGAAAAATAAGTCATTAGGAAAACTTTTAGTTGAAAATTTTTGTTTCATTTTCCCAATCATTTATAAATAATGTATTGATAAAATAGGCAGTTGATTACAAATTGGGAAATATAAATAAAATAAAATAAAGTGGCACATGTTACTTGACTTGAAGAAAAGTCATAAACATGCTAAGTAAATTATCAAATTTGATTCAACTTCTCAAATGGAAAGTTATGTTGAGTGGGAGTAATTGGTATTATTTATTATAATAAGTTTTGTCTACAATGGACAATCTTTTCCAACATTTTCTGGTTCTTTATGCTTCTACTCTTCTTAGTAGTTAATTAAGCTGTGATATCTTGAAATTATTGCTATTAAATCTAGACTCCTAAATAAACTTTCAAGCAGCTCAGGATCTCTTGGACAGTCTCAGAAATAAAGCAATGAGACATGTTACCACTAGGTAATGCTTAATGTTTTTCTGAATGGATTCTATTTTAATGTGTTATCTATGATGCAACCATATGTGGTTGACATTCCATCCTTTTTTCCCCCTCACTATATTCTTGGTCACTTTTGAGGGACCTGATAAGATTTTGTGACAGGAAAATGTCTTTTTTCCCTCTTAACATCTTTGAACAAAATTTATGTTATCATCACATCCTTTTCTGGTAATATCACGTGAGTATACATGTTGCTGACACCTCAATCTCTGAAATCAAGTAAGGAAGCAAGATCCATGCCACTATGGTCTGCATGTGTCCCATCCAAATTTCAGGTGTTGCCAATGCAACAGTATTGAGAGATAAGCATTTAAGAGGTCATTAAGTCATGAAGGCTTCTCCCCTCGTGAATAGAATTAAGGCCCTTATAAAAGAAGTTACTCATAGCTTTCATTGCTTTTGCTCTTCTGCCTTCTGCCATGTGAGATCAGGCCTCATCAGACATTGAACCTGTCAGTGCCTTGACTATGGACTTCCCAACCTCCAGAAGTGTGAGAAAATAAATATTTATTTTTTATAAATTACACAGTCTCAGGTATCCTGTCATAGCAGCACAAAAGGACCAAAAACACATGCTTTCTTGGAAAATAGGTCAAATGTCAAATTCTGCTGTTTTATGCTATTTTTGTAGTTTACTTTTTAATATTACAATAACTATTAACATAAACTTTATATTTCTATCATGTACTGATATATATTTTTATAGTATTCTTATCGTATCATTTACATCCTGCAAAACTATGAGCCAAATAACCCTCTTTTCTTTAAAATTTAAAACAAAAAGAACATTTGCAGTCTTGCATGAATGATTTTCTGTCTAATGTGCTGGTCCTAGCATTTTTTTCTTCTTCTATTTCTTTGTTAATAGAATTATCATTGTACTCAAACTAAATTGCCCAATATTTGCCATCTGCCAGAAAAGTTTGTTTGCTGGGAGAATATGCCAGGATTCTCTGCCTAGATCGTGCTGGTCCTGACACCATGCTTCATGGAGCCGTCTTCATACTGCATACAGATTGTTGCTGCTTCTTCCATTCCTATGCCTTGTGCAGTTGAAACTAATTTCGACTGCCCTGGCTTCCCTGTTTATAGGAAGGCTCCCATTCTAAGATACAGGTAGAAAATGATTTGGAAAAAAACAGAAGGTTTGTTAACAGGTGTTTTTATGTCTTATTAATTGTCCATCCTAATAATAACAGTTTTGGAGATGAGTATCTATGCAAGACAGTGAAGAAACACTAACCTTGTAACCCATAACTTCAGATTCGTTGGCTAATGGTATGACGGGTTCCCAGCCCAGAGATACCTGAAAGCCTTGCTGCTCCCACCTGAGGTTGCTAGGTGCTTGACTAGGGGCTGCAAAATAAAAAGTGAAAATGAACTGACAAGAATTCTTAGATACATTTCTTCTTCCTAAACCTTGTGACTATTTCAATCTTTTCTTGTGTTTAGTAGTTGGCTGGCAATATAGGCTTCCTGCCAACTGGAGTCAGACAAGGAGGGTTTTGCTCTAGAAGTGTCAATTTAACAGCTACTCTACTGAGTTTTTGAACTTGAATCTTTGTATCTCCCTTCTGTGTCAAAATCGCTTAGCCTTGTTTCACAGGAAGACAACCTTTATCTACCGAGAATGCAAAATTCTCTGAGCTAGTTTTGGAATTCAGATTTAAGCACTGAAGCAAGACTATGAATCAAAATTCCCCTTTGTGCTTATTATGTACCTCACATGGCCTTCAGGAATGTTAAAAGATGTTTCTCTTATGTCTGAAACAAACAAAAAGCCTAGGTCACTTACGGGATTTCTTGGTGGTTGCACTCACTTCACTGCTAGGTGGCCCGTATCCAGCTCCATTGTAAGCCCTCACTGTGAAGTGATATAACGTATTTCCTTCTAATCCTGTTAGGATGATGGATGATTCATTCCCCCTAGTTTTGACTGTTTCTGCTGTATCTTCTTGTTCCATGTCTTTCCAGTAACCAATCTGTCAACAAATTATCATATGGCAGATTAAAGTTTTCTCTGTGCTTGTGACCATTTGAACTTCTTCCCTCCACCCCTTTTTTGGCATGTTGCTGGAGCCCACCCCTAGAAAGAAGTACCTCTGTATCCTCCAATTAACAGGTCCTACTACTATGGCCAAAATTGCATCCTAGTCACTGCCTGATTGGTACGTGTGGAAATGCCAGTATCACAGTGGTATTCATCAAAGCAACAAAACATGTCACTTTGTAGACTGGTGGCATGAAAGAGCCCCAAAGGCATACTGACATTAAGGAAGAATCATTCAAAGAAATGGAAGAAGTGCCTTTCTCTCATAGGTCATCAGAACCATTTACTATTCAAAACCATGAAATTTTGAATGAATTATCTGAGAAAGAGGCATGAACAATATTTTCTCTTGGGCTTCACATAAAGGTGAATCACACAAGCTGTATCAGGATAATAGAGGAGAGGTGACAGAACATTCATGGCACCTTGGAGTGGTTTAAATGTCGAGAAATAGCATTGTTGAGATATAGGAGGGAGGAAGAAATTAAGAGCTTTCTGTCAAAGCCCAGTTTGTGCATGGAGAGCATCTTTACTGGCATGAGCTCAGAGTAACTGGTCTCATACCAAACTTGATCCATTTGTCTCACAGTTAGACTAAGGCTTAACTCTGTTCAGACACCAGAACTTAACCATGTATCAGTGCATAAAAGTGTAGTTTTTCTCCCCTACTTATTTACTCTGGTGAAAGTAGTAGAAGAGTAATTTTCCCCCCACTTAGAAAGTAACAGATCACTGCACCCATTTCTTTCCTCCTTCAAGCGCTTTGGTGTCAAGAAAGCCAAATACCACATTTTCCAGTTTCTTTCAGCTAAAGCTGCTGCTATACAATGTGGGCAGTCAGGAATTATTTGGAATTTGGAAGATATTCTGGAGCATGTCTAGAAATTGCTACTTCTGGTTGTGAGCATAGGAAGTCATAATGAGCTCTGATCTCAAGAGCAAACATTTGGATGACTCTGACGTATTAAGGGCCTCAACCAGCTTCAGCGCTGGCTGAAGGCAAAGGGAACAAGAAATGAGAAGAAGAGAAGAAAGTTACAAATTGAAACTGCAGCTTTATGAAATAAAGACTGTAGTAGTCAGCCATATTTTTGTCTTTGTATATTATTTTGTACGTGTTTACAAATATGAGATAATTTTCACCTTATCCTTTCTTGTGATATTTTATTTAGAATATGATATTGGTAGGTAACTTTGTAATGTAGCCCCTTGGAGAAGGAGCAGATTTTCATCCTGAGATGGACAAATTGACTGATGGGACTTTCTTTGGTTCTCTCTTTTGGGGAAAGGGTGAGCACACTTTCATTTCTAAAAGAGATATTTGCATTATGGAGGAATGGAACTCTGGGGAGAAAGGTATATATGGATGTTAAGTAACCAAAGAGATGGGATACATCAGTGCTCAACATCTATTTCTCCCTCATTCTTGTGTGCCTTTCTCTACTGAAGAAGATGGAAAGCTAACATTCATACTTCTGAGACTCCCCTGCAGTCAGGGTTCTGCATGTGTTTTAGGTTTTGCCAGTGAAATGCAAACGCATGAGACTTGAGAGAAGTGAGATGCAGGCTGAAACTTTGCTCTCTCTACTTTTCTGCTGGTAAGCACGGTAAGAGAGTCATTATATTTTCTTCTTTTCCCCTTGCCCCAGCATTAGTAAATGTCTTACTGCCTAGCCACTAGCTTCATGGTAGTTAAGAAGCAGGGAGCAGCGCAGTCATTTCGCTGGTGCAAAACAGTAGGCATGGTAGGATTCCAGAGCTGGCAACAATAAAGGGGCTTCTAGATGACAAGTGCTTCCTGAATGTGGCACCATCTTAATCACCTTTCTAACCATGGACTGGTATGTGTGCTTCTGAAGCTGGTACCTTCCTGTTTTTAAAAGACATCAGCTTCTTCCTTTTTGGCTTGGTCCTATAGTTTTGCCTTTAGAGTCATTCTTGAAAGATCACCCTGCAGTCTGTTAATTTAACTCTCAATAATTTTGTAAACCATTTAAGACCTATGATAAGACACTTCTTGTTTAAGCTAGTTAAAATAATTAGTTCTTTGCAGCTGAATCCCATCTGATATATCTACATAGATCCCTAAATTATGTATATATATAAAAAAGCTAAGATTATCAAACCCGAATTTTCAGCAGTTTCCTCACTGAATTGAATGAACATACAGCTGAGTGACTGAGCTTCAGAAATCTAGGTTTTTTGTTTTTGTTTTTTTTAAAAGCTGAAATTCTCTAACACTGTCTTTTATATAATGCTTGCCCCATTATTCTCAATTCTAAGAACTGACTTATTCTGCTTGATTTCAGCGTATTTTTAACTGGAAAAAATCCAAGTTATTTTCAAGCTACAAAATTGGCTGAGAAGTCAGCCAATTGAGAAGTTGGATGAATGAACACATATCTTTTTTTTTCTTCTTCTTCTTTTTTCCCTCCAGAGATATATCTGTTTTCTCTTTCATTTTTCCTTTACTGGTTATATAAATATACATTTTGAGGGATTTTAGTGTGATTAATTTAAACAAATTACAGATTTTGATACAGATTTCAATACAAATTCTGGACTTTTAAATATTGAATATTTTATGTTCTGATTAATCACCACAAAATTAAACATCTCAAGTAAAACACAAAATGTTTTCTAAGTAACTGTGAGAAAAAAAATTATATCTTTACCAGGTGTAACCCAGAGGTTTAGATTTCTTGAAGAGAAATCTCAAAAATCCATACATTATTTCTTTTTCTAGCATATAGAATATTTTTGAAAATAAAGAATGGAAGAGTAGCTAATTCATGCTTAAGTAGTAATTATTTACCTTTTTATTATGTGGGAGAGGGTAAAATAAAAAAACATTTGTTGCTTAACATAGTGACTCTTTAGTGATTCTTAAGCTAGAATTGAGGTAACATAGTATTCATAAATCACACACACCTTCTAAAATTGAAACTTTCTATTTATTTGATGTCTTTCTTCAGATATAGATTTCATCAACCCAGAAACTTTAAATTCTCTATGTGAAATCACTTGCAATGAAGTTTAAAACATTAAAAAGACATAGATATTTAAAATTGGAAGCACAGACAACCTACTCTTAATACCTTCATACAATTGTTTTCTTTTTTGCATATATCTATATTATTACATATGTTTAATATAATTATGATAATATTATACTTATATTTTATGCCCTTTCATTCTCTAACATTATAATTATACATAAATATATTCCCATTGTAAAAAATAATATTCTACCATATACCTAGGTATCATACATTATTAAACCATTGTCCTATTGTGAAACATTTGGGTAACCTCCAACTTTTGCTCTTTTAATTAAAATGTTGTCATATGTTTTATTTCCCACATATTATATTAATTCCTCAGAATAGATCCTAGAAAGGAGATTATAGGTTCTAAAGTTATGAAAATTGTTATGCTTTTTGATAAAAAATGCCACACTGGTTTTCAAATAGTTTGTATTAATTTTTATTTTCAACAAAAATGTATATATCTAAGATAATTGCAGGCTATGTTGCAGGCTCTAGGTGGATCATAGGTTTGAAATTAGAAGGTCAATATTTGAATTTTTCTTGATATGTATAAATGGCATATAATGGAACAAATTAGTTAACCAATGATTTTCTGTATCCATGTTTGTAAAGCAGACAAAATAGTACTTACCTCATTTTTATGAATCATTTTTAAACAGCTTTTGTTTTTTTGCTCAGCTACTTGAGCTATTGTGTTTCTTGATCTTTTAATATTTATGATTTTTGTTATTTGTAAATATGTTCCCTTTTTATCCTTCATATTATTTTGTAATTTTATCTCTCAAAAATATTTTTACTTAAAATTATAATGGTACATAATATTATTAGTGGCAGTCAGGAAGTATGAATTCTCTAAGTCATCTAATACCTTTAAGGTTCTAGAGTTGAACCTAAATCAACAGGATGGCTCTTCTTAGTGCCTTATTTTTTCCCAAAGTTTTCCAAAGTTGATTCTCTAGAATAATAAATTTAACTGTGCAGATCATATAGTTGATTTGCTGGTGTGATGGGTCTGACATATTCATGTGACACATAATCCAGTTCCCTTGCATGAAGTTATAGGATCTGAAACCCATGGTTTCTGCCACATGCAGTTGATTACTGGGTAAACTCTCCCCTACTTCTTAATTTTCATTCAGTCATGTAAAACCATTGAAGAATTATTCCTAATATGTTGGTTTTTGCTTATCTAATTCTTTTCAGTTTTTTAAAGACTTCATTTTTTAAAGCAGTTTTAGGTTCACAGAAAAATAGAAAGGATCCATCTCTACAGAGATCTCCCATATCTCCTGGTCCCTACACATGCATACCCTCCCCCATTATCGACACTCCCTCCCCCAACCAGAATGGCACATTTGCTACAATGGATGAAACTACATTGACCTACATCTTATCCAATTTTTGTTATTTGGTAGGTTTTAACAATGCAACTTGTAACTCTTGTATGCACTTATTTCTGTAACTTTAATTGCACTCAATGGTCACTGCTCATTCACTATTGTACTCCCTGCATTTAATAGACACCACTCTATTTTCTGCTGTTAGTAAATACTATAGAAGATAATCTTCTTTTTGATATTTTCACCTTTGAAAGTAACTTTGTCTTTATGCTACAGAGCTTATACTTTTTTTTTAAATAATCAAAATGCATATTAGAATATAAATAATTTACCAAGACTTGAGTTTTAAAAATGTGTTAATTATCCATTAAAGATATTTTAGAATATGTATTCTTTACCAAATACTGTGCCTATGGGCAACTGGGAATTAATGGTGAATCAAAATAGACATAGTTCCTACCCTCTTAGAGCTTGTAGTCTGCTCAGGGAACTGGCCATTGAATGAATAATCACACAAACAAATGTAAAATTGGAGTTTTGAT